TCAGCATGACCTCTGCCTCTGCGTCGCACCTGGCTGAAGAAATCCCAGAGGGAAAGCACTAAGGTAGGATCTCTGTGACAGCCTCTTATCTGCTCTTCTCCTCTCAGTCCTTAAAAGATACATGGCATATGACAAATGAGAAGCAGCAGGAAGTGTGGAAATGAGGACTTATCCACACGTGAGGCGAGAATGAATTTCATGAATTTTGCATGCGGTGGCACGAGATCAGGAGGCTCCTCTGCCTTGGAGACGGAGGCGCAGAAGTTTCCCCCCGTCCTCCGCTGCAGGTGGCATATAGAAATGTTTGGGAGGATTTCCTGGAGCAGGTTTGCACTGCTGTTTTCTTCCTTTGGTTCTTATGCCTGGTGCTCTGCCTGCTCTCTCTGGCTGGCTCTACAAACTCCACAGACTTTGAACAGCTTGCGAGCCTTGGGCCTGTCCCAGACGCCATTCATTCATGGGCCCTCATTCTTCAGAGAGTTGCCGAGCAGGCTGTTGCCTCTGAGAGGACTTCTGCACCAAAAGTCCAGGAGGCGCCTGGACCAGTGATGGATTTAAGGTGCGTGCACACCTTCTGGATACAGAATGTGGCTTTTTAGAAATGTTCTTAATGCAAATTTGCATGTTTTCTTTGTCACATTGCAGCAACTTAACAAAACAAAGACTAAACAGGCTTGTTCCGAGGAAACTGTGTCATATGTGTGAATATTTGTGATAATTATTTGGGAATAAGGCCGAAACTCCTAGGTTTTTGCCCTTTTTAGCACTCAAACCTTTCAGTTATTCACCCACCTTTGGACCAAAAAAGGTTAAAAATGTGCTTTTAGCTGTTCAAAGTTATACACTTAGGCTTCATATCAGATCAGTGTGAAACCTCCCAATGGATGAGCTATAGATTCAAATTATTAATGAACTCTGATCCATTCAGACCAGCGCAACACACACTAACACACCACCACCACGTCAGTGTTACTGCAGTGCTGAGAATGATCCACCACCCAAACAGTACCTGCTCTGTGAGGGTCCATTGGGGTCCTGACCACTGAAGAACAGGGTAAAAGGGGGCTAACAAAGTATGCAGAGAATCAGATGGACTACAGTCTGTAACTGTAGAACTACAAAGTGCACCAAAGTGCACCTGATCGGTGTAAATACAGTGTAGAGAGACGGCCATTTTGCACCATTCAGAAGCTCCGCTGATATCATGATGCATCCTCAATAGCATATCACACCATCTACTCCGAAAGTGGTACATGGAGTCATATCTGAGCCATATTGGCTATGCTTTCCCACTCTACCTGCACATGTGCGATAGGAGCTGCGATAGGAGCTGCGGTAGCCGCGTAATCTGCAGCTCGATGAGTTAGCTTTCCTCCACAACGAGCACTAGCCGCAGGAGACTCTGGGCGCTCCCACTGCAGTGGTGTTGCTTAAAAACCATTACAGCGAGTCTGCATACTCCACTGCTTTGCAATAAAGAGCATCTCCCCTCCTCTCTGCGTGGCTTATCTCCAGCGCCAGCGCTCCCGGGAGGCCCGCTCTCACTCACAGCCTGCAGACAGCAGGGGCTCATACACTGATGGAGCCTGCGGCTTCGCAGTTCTGATCCAGACTGGCTACCAAGCAGAGGAACAGCCTAGTCTGGAGTAGTATACGGGCCTTTATTCATCAAAGCTGCACAGAAAGAAGTGCGGATTTGAGCTCCTGTAATGACGTACGAACTGCTCCGTCTCCATCAAGCGACGCTGAAGCTCGCAGTGATTGGAAAGCAATCGATGAATCAGCTTCAGCTGCACAGAACCCAGCACCTAAGCAGCAGTCTCTCATTTGCATGTCATTTTCAAATGATATGTTCCATGTGGCCCTAATTTACATATAATTTACTTGAAATGCCCAATTCATGCAGGTGTTGCAAGTATTCAGCAGGTTCAGGAGCCATTGGTTATCCTTCATACAAATCCACCCAGTCACGGAATACTTTCATGTCCAACTGCTAGGGCTGATAAATTTTTATTATTATTGTTGTTATTATTTTCTGTGTGTTATTATTTTGTAGCTGAAGTGTTTAGCTAATTATAATTATTATAAAAAAAGGACTAATGAGCTAATACTGTTATAAGGTGGAGTACACTGTCCTTTACCACTTCATATAGAGTCCATGTAGAAGTAAATAATGAATCTGAATGTGAGTAAAGCTCCAAGTCTGCATATTCTGATCCACATTTATAGGTTAATTGTTGACAACATTCAGTCCAAATGATGTAACACAGACTGCCATGCTCTACTGCATAATTATCAATGTTATTTTGTATTTTTTATTGTTATTCATTGAATATATTCATAATTATTTCCTCTATTTTATTGGCAACAATTACTTTCTTTTAATTTTTTGTTAAACTACAACATAAATGTAAATTTTCTTTGCTGTACTTTTTCCAGATCACACGACTTCCTGTTGCAGTTTGTGCTTCTTTTTTTAACAAACATGCCACACGGTGAGTTTGAGCATCTGAAGTGCCCTCAACGCGTTTACACAAAAAATTCAGGAAAATAATTCAAAAAAAATAAGCAGCAAGTTACAATATATTTCTCATGCATTAAACCAGCTTAGCTGCTATAGGTTTTATATAAAATTCTATAATATAGTTGTTGTCATATGGAAACAGCATGAACGCAATGCCATTAGACACACTGGACACCGCAGTTTTCATTTTTTTGATATTCCAGGTTGAAAATTTTCATACCTATTTGAATGCTAAAAAAACATGTTTGAATGCATGTTTTTTCAGCCCTGGATGAGGAAAATGTCCAATGGTGTATTGGTTTACATTTACTGCAGCTGCCAAATGTGAACAAAAAATACCCCCAAAAATATTTTTCTTTTTTCTTTAAAAAAAAAACAAACAATGTACTAATAATGATACTTATTTTCATTATGAAAAATCATTTTTTCATGTATATTTCATATTTAATGCATGAAAGAGGTAATGATTTTCATGAATTAACCAAAAAAAACAAAAATCAGGTTGTTTATGTTAATAGGGCCAGAGTGAGTGACTGATTAGCTGTTAGTAGCACAAGCCTAGTAATGCAAAGCGACTTTGCCAGCTATAACTAACACTTAAGGCCTCAGCCGACTTCTTGTGGAGACGACGTTCGCCTGGCATCAGCGAACAACACGACGTAATTACGCAGAAAACGAACAACCGCAGACGTTGCGTGGAGGCCTCGTTCACCATGGCAGCTGGGTGAACTCCGTGGACGAAGACGCTACGCGGCAAAGCCTGTGATTGGTCAGCAAAAAGGAGTTGTGCCGTGAAACAAAGATGGACAACTTTGAGGAGCTTCGGCTTTGGCAGACACACTAATATTTCACTGTGAAACATGTAGTTGTTAAATAAACGATAAATATCTCCTAAATGTAAGATGCTAAGTCTGTTATTCGGTAATACTAACAAGTACTGAGCAACATACAGGTTATCTTATATTTAGGTTCAGTTGGCTTGTTTCTTGTTCGAATCTTCCCGTTCCACCTTAAATGGTGGCAGTATTCTGAACTCAAATGTTGCCGTAGTTAGAACAGTGAAAGAATCGTTTTCCAGCAGTCATGAAACTTATAAAAAATCATAGCGTCATGTGGAGCATCCGCAACAGGCAGCACAAACCGCAGAAAGTATGCCAGCTTGTAAGCTTGTGCCTCGCAAATTTTGTTTCGCAAGAAGTACGCTGAGGCCTTTATCTAGCTACATCCAGCACCCTAGCAGTATTTTGTTATATGCATGATTTGCAGAACCCAATTTTAAATAGTTATTTAATAATCCTAGTGGTTTCTTAAAGGGTACACGGGTATATGCACTTCTCTGGGCCTCCACAGCTCAGCCAGAGCCAAGAAAATTAGTTCAGTTAGGTTCAATTCAGCCGATGCATGGTGCTGGTGGTGGTGGTGGGGGGGGCAATGAACACGACTGCCCTGGAGGCCAATAACAAGGAGTTCCTAATGTAATTTCCCTAATTCTTCTCTCCCTCGCTTGTTCTCCCCTCTTCCCCCACTTAATCTGATGAAATATTTAGCAGAAATGCAGCCCCAGGAAAGGGCAGCGTATGAAACAGTGTATCGTCATATTCCAGCAAAGACTTTTAGAGGACGCAGATTAAATATATTAATGCCAAATGATATCACAGCTAGAAATGAACAGAAAAAAACCTAAAGATGATTACTGTCATACTAAAAAGACGTCATTTTACATGATTTGCAACGACCAATTTCCTTCATTTGTAGCTTTTGATATCCTTCCGTCTGGGAAATCAGACAGAAAACCTTTATTTAAAGTGCAACTGAGCCAAGAATCACGGCGTACGGCAATTCACACCCTAAAACGCAAATACCCAAATTAGCCACAGTAAATTAATACTAAAAGCCGTTTGACGTCAAATTATGTCTCATGGCTCATATGAGGTTCATCAAAACAATGAAATCTAAAACTCAGCGACTGGTTCTGTGCGATAGAAGCGGCTAATGGATCTAAATGAATGCTAATGAGCAGAATCCAATTCAGCAGCTGATTGCCTCTCACAGACAGATGTCAGAAATGTATGTTGCGGGGTTGGGATCCAGACAGAAGAGGGGAACTATGGGTAAACATCCCTTCATCTACTCATCTTAATTGTATTTCTAGCGAGCTGATCTCCCCTCCTCTCATTTCCTATATAGGGGAATTGACATGCTTGGAGTGTTCGGGGAGCTTGGGCTTTATTACTCGGGGATTAACACTCCGGGACAGCAAAATGGCTTTTGCAGCCCACCTTCAGCCATGAGGATTGTGGGTAAGAAAGAGACTCGATTGACGTTGGCCTGCCAAGGCTTTCAGACCACCAGAGAGAGAGTAAGAAAGAAAGAGGCCCCCGGTGCTGTAAGCCTGCCAAAGTGTTCAGACCAGCGGAAAGAAAGGGCAAGTGAGAAGAGAGAGAGAGAGAGAGAGAGAGAGAGAGAGAGCTTTTACCTGTTCTAAGATGACGTTGATCCTGTCCACTTCACAGTCAATGAGATAGCGCTTCTCCTGCCTCCTGTCCATTTCCTCAATGATGCGCTTGTACTCCTGAGGGTCTGTTATACTCCCCACCGACCGAGCCGTCACCTGCCAGTTGTTCGCCACCGCCGCCTCCATTATGGCCTGCAGTATGGAGAATCCTTAAGGAAGAAAACAGCGTACATGTTAGACTATTATTTCAAAGAGAATATACTCTAAAAATAAAGGTTCTTAAATGGTTCTTGTCTAGGAAAAAAACTTTTAATTAGTGCAGAACCATGACATTACACAGAGCAACTTTCAACTTTAGCCAGGTTCTTGAGCCAGAGGTGTTTCTGTGGTTCTCTTTCACAGCGAGTGTGAAAGCATGAACAACTGCGGCAGTGTTTACAGGCTTTTAGTACGTTCAATAGATAATTCAGAACCATTGGCCAGCTGTGTTTGCACACAGAGGAATTAGACCTCTGTATTTAACCCATCCGTGCAGTGAAACACCACATACACACTAGTGAACACACACTAGGGGGCAGTGAGCACACTTGCCCGGAGCCGTGGGCAGCCCTATCCACGGTGCCCAGGGAGCAGTTGGGGGTTGGGTGTCTTGCTCAAGGGCACTTCAGTCACGTACTGTCGGCTCAGGGGATCGAACCAGCGACCTTCCAGTCACAGGGCTGGTTCCATCATAAGCACTGTTGCTGTTATTTTGTCTCAAAGCTACTCTTTGGATAATATTTCATGACTTCTGGACCAAATCAAATTTTGAAATGTAATGTTTATTTTTTTTTAATGACTTTTTTTAATCACAATTTTCTAAACCTAAACTTAAATCTAACCCTAACCTAAAAATGTTTTGCCCAAAACACCCCAACTGATCACATGACCCCAGATCTACGTCACATGGCTCTGCATCATTTTGCTTCACCTGATTACTGGTTCAGCTCACCTGTTTAGCTCACTACATTAACCCCCTCAGTCTGATTGCACTTTGAGGAGTATTGCCTTTGTTACGTACAACCTTACAGTCTGTTAGTTCGTTAGTTAGTTCGTTAGTTAGTTAGTTAGTTAGTTTTTCCATGTATGTTCACTGCTTTGTTTGTTTTTGACCTTGTCTTCTGCTCATCCTTGTTAGTATTGTTGGTATTTCTGGTTTTGCCTACTTTTCTGTTTTTTGGACTCCCCTCATGGTTACTGGTTTCTTGATTTGGCTTCTTACTCTGGGCTGGCTGACCTTGATTTTGGATGCTCCTTTTTCTAATAAACCTATTTTACTTCACTTTGGTCTGCAAGCGTCTGAATTCTGTCCGAACCTGAAAATTGCTGAAGTTCCAGATGTTTCTACTACTGTCTTGGACTTGTCTCGGACTCTGCCATTGGTCTCACCAAAGTTAGTGTCTGGTCTCAATCGAGACCAGCTACCATTTTAAAAATATATATTTATTTGTGTTTTTATTCTCTTAAATAATGCCTTATTACCTCAAAATGATTACTTATTTGCTAAAAATAATGACCCGCTATGTGAAAATAATAATTTAGCACATTGTCCTGATGTATTCTCAACAAAATTACTCACCTTATCGAAATAAAACTCAATGTAAAGAAAATAAGTTGTTATTTTACCTGGTCAATATTTTGAAAAAGTTATTATTCAAGAACAGAATTACAGTCATTATTTTGGTTTAAGTTCATATGAGATAGTTTGACATTCAGGTGATCTTTTTCCTCCTCCACCTGGTGGGAAACAGCTTCTATAGATGCACGATTGTCTTCAGAACAACTAAGAAAACTTTCCCACCTCTGATAAAATGTGGAGCTTGTGTTAAAAAAGAAAAAAAATAAGCTCTACAAAGTTAGAGCCATTGTGCTGGTCCTGCCTGACAATGTAAGCTATTCCTGTTTTCCTCAGTTTTTCTGTAGTCAGGACATTTCTGTCCCAAAAATAACCTTGTCAGGACCTTTTTGCTGCCAGGGTGTTTCTTTCACCTATAAAGTTATCATTTCAGAGATTTGAGCTTTTATTACAACGAGTATATAGTGCTGTGTCTGGATATTAGAAACATCATAGCGTGAAGCAGCAATTTCCAGGCCTGAGGAATAGCCGAGGGTGCCCTTCAGCAGTGATGTATCATTTCATGAGCTTAGAGTGCGGGGGAATTATTTGAAAGGCTGCCACATGTTCTGGAGTTAAATGAGCGAGCCCTATGTAAATTCTTTGACTTTGACGCTGAAATTGTTCTCGTTCCGTCGCTAGCGCCCGTCCTTGGGATGTGGGGCCAGCTCAAAGACGGGCAAAGACAAAAGCCCGATCTTCCTTTCTTCTGGGCGGAAAAAAAAATAATTATATTATAGGAATATTGTGAGAACATTTTCATACATAATTCAGATGATGAAGATATTAGTTTAACTGAGCTCTCTGCTCCAGTATACCCAAATGACATTCTTTCAACTGATTTACTCCACAATGAATAGTGGGGTGATAAATTGGCACGAATAAATTGCCTGGTTTTTGTGCGAGCTTCGCTAAAAGGATTTACTCGTTTCCAGTGTGCAGGCCGAGGCACAGAACGAACCGAGACGAGCAGTGGTAATGCTAATCAACCGCAGCCAGGGTTGTTTCGTAAAGGGAGAGACAATGTAATTGTTTTCAAATGTATCCGCAATAAGCCCCTTTTCTCCATTAAGGCACAAGTGAGCCTAACTTGTCATATTCACGAGAAAAGGCCATAGAAATGTCCTGCGATGGCAGACTTTGCTGACCACGCTTCCCAAACGCAGATTGGGAGGGAAGCCTGATTTAGGACCACGATTAATACCAGCGCACAGCCGATCGGCCAATGGGGGATTATGTAAATGGCTTAAATGCAGTCTGAATGGCGTCCGGACAGAAAGCACGTATCGTATTGTTCCAGCTGCTTTGCCTCTTGCCGGCCTTATCGTTGGGCAGGGACGCGCAGGCACCACTGTGACAAAGCAAAGTGTCTCGTTGGCAAGTTCTCCCTGCTGAATGCTTGAACTTCCTCTTAAAAGGCTGAATTAGACTTCTGCATCTGCAAATCTGTGAACATGCGCAGACGTTAGGCGCAGATGTTAACATAAGTGTCTGTGAACATACTTGCGCATAATGTTACCATGTGCACTAGAGGGCCCCGTCACATTTACCAGACCTGAATGTACACAAAGAAAAGTCTTGCACTGTAATGAAGAGAGAATGGATAGAGTAAGTTAAACACTGGAAACAATACTATGCTATTTTGGTTAGTTCTGTTTTAAAACATACTGTATGGCTGCAGGGATCACTGTAAAAGCCCCACCACTCTCATGCCTAAACATTGCAAGCCCTAAGTGACCTCTGATCCATGCACCCCAGTCATTTTGCGTAATGTGACAGAATCTAAAAGATTTAATACTTTATTCTATATATTTTGATCTGGAAAAAGTCTCATAAATACTACAGTAAATGCAATGGAACTACAATTTACTGTAGAATGGACAACATTTAAAAGGACCTTATCATGGAAAATGAAATTTCCCGAATTTTAAAAATGTACCTTTTCGTCCTCAGTCCATACAGTCCATACAGTCCATACAGTCCATATGTAGAAACTAAACTGCAAAAACAGCCTGTTTTGAATTCATTGCTTTTGTGATGTAATGAGGACCAACTCATTTACATATATCTGCCTATTCAATGCAAATAGCCCCGCCCATTCACATAGAAGTTATAAGTAGTGTTTTAGCCTGTACTGCTTTTTGAATGAAGCACAATACAGGGGTGCATTTCCTGAAAGCATCGTTGAACAACTTAAAGAAAAATGATAGAGAGACTATCATTTTGAACTCTCTCTCTCTCTCTCCACGGTTACCATGGTGGTTGCTCAGTGACATTTTTAGGAAATGTAGTCCAGGATAGCCAGTCAGAACTGAGCTCATGTGCATATAACACTCTTAAAGGCACAGCTACAAAAACAGCCTATAGCAATTCTAAGAGATCTGGAAGTTGGAAAATGGTAATACAGAAATTAATTTTTGGCGATTTTTGGCACATAAACCAACACTTTAGGGGACTAAAAAAAACAAGACGTAGAATATTGGCTCTATATATAACTAAATAAGTTGTATATCAAATGAAGTAACTAAATAGTCAGTTTAATTCAACATAACGTAAATTCCAATCATCAGTAATGACTTAATAAGATTTTTGTTTCTGTCAATATCATTATTGACAAAATACTGTATACTTGGCGGTGGGGGGGCGGGGTAAGCATCGGCTTATACTGCTAATAGCAAGTAAGAGCCTTGCTCTTGCCCCACTTGACAAATGCGTAAAAAAGAGACCACCGATATTGAAAGGAGGCAAATAAATATAACAACATTCAGTTATAAGAGTTTGTACTTCATTACTTTACAACAGGGATCATCTTAATTAACTACATTAAGCTTAAGAGGGATAGTCTTGCTATGTTTCTGTGATTTTGATAATTAGACTGAAGGTTAGTTAGTGTTAACGTTGTCATGCAGTTAGCTAGCCAGCACAGTTATTCACAGCTGAAATATGGGACACTTTTTCCTGCATTTTTTCACACTGGCCTTACTTGCAGGAGACCACCTGGACATAGTGGCCTTCACTTGATTTGAGTTTGAGACCCTTGATCCAAACAGTGAAGTATAGAGCAGCGAGAGTGGTTGGTGGGCTGCGGGTATGGTGGACCATGAGAGCAGCAGCTACAGCAGTGTTTTATTACAATATCCACAATTTTGGATATGCTTCCCTGTTCAACCAATCAACGTTTGCTTGACACACAGGTTTGTGTGATGTGTGGTTGACAATTTGGATTACTCTGCTGCTGCAACATTACCCATAACCCCCTTCTCTGCATCTCTACACAAGTACATTTCAGTGCATCCTCACAGATTTATAAAACAGCCTTTAGTCCTTCTCTCCTCTCGCTGTCTCGGGCACAGCATGCGGCCCCCCGCTCTGCAAAGCGACCTTTCGGAGAAGAAAAGCTCCGTGACGGGCCCAAAGAAACGCCCCGCACGCCACCCATCCGCAAGAGTGGAGCAGGAGGGAGCTGAAAGAAATGGTGTGTCAACCGTCCCGGCTTCATGCGGAAGAATGGAGAGCGTGGAGGCGAGCAAGAGTGACACCCTCATTAAGACAATG